TATGCTCTCTTTGGGTGGCTCCAATCACTTTGGCATATTTTTTTTCTGAAAATTTGGACAATTTCCAACAAAAAAGTTGCTGGGCACTTTGAATCATTCTACCCTGATCCAGGAATTATTTGAATATTTGTGATTTTTCATGAATTTCAAAAAAACCCTAAAATGGCCAACTTTGGGCCTCTGAAAAAGTGTCATAGAAGGCCCCAATTTTTCTAAAATTTTTTTGGAAAAATCTGACATCAAATACAACAAGTTTTTCATATTTGCAGAAAAAAAATTTTTTCGACCATTCGATTTCACAGAGAATCGGCCCTATATAAGCATAACTACAAGATGCGAAACTTTTTTATGATTTGTTATAAATAAAACTGAAATGAGACACAAAAAGGATTAAAATTAAAATTAGTGAATTAAATTTTTTTTTTATTCATTTATTCAAACGATATGTACAAGAATATATATAAAAAAAAGCACTACGCATAAATGCCAATCGACCTTACGTCGCCTTGGCCTTCAGCCGCGAGACACACAAAGTACAAGTCGATGAGCTCCAGCCGCTCGATGATATCCTCGCAGTTCTCAATCGGCAGCCGGTAATTTATCAGCTTCATGAAGTAGCCCAGCGACCAGTCCCGGAACATATTCATCGACGCCCTCGAGCACAGTATACCGGTGCAGTCCCGCACGGCCTTGGAGCGCAAACCGTACCACCTTCTCGCCAGCTCGAAGTAGCCCTTGAACGTGAGCAGTTTGGCCGCCCGTTTGGCCGGCAGCTGGATCAAGTCGTGCAGCGACGGGCTCGACGGCTCGTCCGCCCTGATCTTTATCCGTTGCGCTTCCTGCACGAACCCTTGGTTCGCCAATAACCCGGCCAACGAGTCTCGGTCGAGACCGAAGCCGTAATAGATCGAGCAGTTCTCGTAAAAGCCGAAGTTGACGAACAGCTCCATGATGAGCAGAGCGTCGTTCGGGCGCAGCTGGTATCCTCCCTCCTCCAGGCACTCGAGGCAGGCCAGCAGGCCGGTGGCTTCGACAAAATTAAAGTCCAGTGGATAATCCATCATGTACCGTCTGAGGGGCTCGGAGAAGTCATCGTCGGTGGGAAAGACGAAGCTCGTCAGATCGGCGCCATGATCCAAGAGCGCATTGACGGTATTCGGCAAGAGACTGGTCACGGCCCATTGAAGGGGTGTTCGCCCGTCGTTGTCCGAGGCGTCGACCCGCACCGACTGGCCCAATTCTTCGTTTATCTCGAAGAACTGCTTCGCCGTATCGTCGTCGCGCAACGGGCCTCTCTGGGAAATAATGTGCAGGGCAGTGAATCCTCTCGCGTCGGTTAAATTCGGGTTGGCTCGTCTTCTCAATAGTAATTCGGCCTCCTCCCACTTGTTTTTCCACAGAGCCAAGTGCAACGATGCGTTGCCCTCGTTGTCCCGGGCGTCGACGTCGACCCTTTTTTCGAGCTCGTCGCAGACCTCGAGGAACGGTCTCAGCGAGTCGGCGTGGTCGTCGTTTTTCGCGCAGATTACGTGCAATGCAGTCGTCCCCGCATCGTTGGCCAGATTCGGATTGGCGCCTTTTCTCAGCAGCAATTTAGCCGCCTCCAAGTTGTCGTGCTTCAGAGCCACGTGCAGCGGCGTATCGCCAAAATTGTCCCGAGCGTCGACGCTTATCGTCTGATCCATTTCTTCGTTGGTCCAGAAGAACATCTCCAGCGAGTAGTCGTCGTTGGCCAGCCGTCTCGCGCATATCAAGTGCAGCGGGGTTTCTCCCGTCTCTCGCCAAACGAGATTCGGATCAACCCTGCCGAGCTGCAGAAATATCTCCATTTCCCTCGAGCAGCCGGACAGGCAGGCCGCATGAAAGTGCGTCAGGCCCGATTCGTCTATGTAATTCGCGTCGAATCTCGTGTAAATTCGAAATAGACTGGGCACCAGTATGACGCAGCAATTGGCGCATCTGGCAGCGAGATGCACCGCAGTGGTGCGCCGCAGCAGCGGCTTGCCATTATCGTCTACTTGGGGCTCGTCTCGGTAGCCGCTGTGCGCCACGAAGTTGACGACTCGCCTCGCTCGACGAGGCTCGAGCTTCTTCGTGGCCTCCGCGAGCAGCCAGTCGACTTCGCCGGGTTGATCGAAAAATACTCCAACTTCCGGCGGTGGACCGAGCCAATGTCTGATCAAGCAGTCGAGTCTCGCGACGAGTGTGCGTAGCTCCGACTCTTTCTTCTGCGGAGAAATGCGTGCTCCTCGACACAGTTTTAAACTTCGGGATAAAGTGAAAAATTGATAAAGAAGTTCCTTTCGCTCTTCCGAGACTCTTGGCGTAGTTTTACAACAATTCATACAGTTTATTGAGTTGCCCATTGTCACACACGCACGCGCACTCCTTAGCGCAATCGTTTGTAATTTTTGTAATATTAAATTTTTTCACTTTTAATCACTTTCCGTAATAGAGCATATCTAAGTTTGTAATTTTTGTAATATTAAATTTTTCCACTTTCAATCACTTTCCGTAATAGATCACACCTTGCTTCGATGCTTGTGGTCTAGTGTCTACACGCGTACTGCCTATATTACATGTGCTACGATCAAAGCACATGGTCTAAACTATTAAAAATGAAAGTCGACGATCTAAAACGTGGATGCACATGAGCGTGTAAGAGTAACAGATGTACTTACGCGACGAAGCAGAGATGATTTTAATAGGTTCCTTTCACGTTTCAATGATTTTGGACACAAATTGATGTATAGGAATTTGAACCGCATCCGCGCATCGAGTTCCCGGACGTGTCAATTATTCCGGACCATAGCAGGCCTACATGATGGCGCTGGTGGAAGAGTGGATATCTTTGGCTCTTGATAAAAGTTTAATTGTAATTTTGTCGAATTTAAAATTTTTATATCACTATATCATGATGAAAAATTATGAAAAAAGTGGAAGATACTTTTTGATCAATTACACTACATTTTTGTTCTATAAACTTTTCTTCTGAACTTATTAGTTTTCCAAGGTAAAAAAAGAATAAACATTTATTTGATGTTTAGAAAAAAAGTTTATAGAACAAAAATGTTTCAGAATTGTTAAAGAAGTATCCTCAAAATTTTTCAAAATTTTTCAGAAAAACTTACGGTTCGACAGTAGTCCATTCATTTGTCCTTTTTTCCTTTTTCTTTATATTTTTACTAACGAAATGAACTTAAACATTTTTGGTATAGTAGAAAAAAATTTAGTAACAATTTTCAATATTTTAAAATAAATCAGTAATCAATTCATGCGTATAAAATAACATTTATATTTGACTTCTCGAATACATTTTATTTACGCTGGTAGACAAAAAGGCATATTTTTATACATTTTGCATTGCAAGCCTTCTGCACAAGGGGGAGCAGTTATCCAGATATCCCAATATGTTCGTGTAGTTGCAGGATCAGTAGGGAATACAACTTTACCACTGCTTCGCTCGCTCTTCAATTGACACGGTTTACCAATTTGAATCGGCTCTTTGCAATATGAAAGAGCAAGTGGAGTATGAGATTCTAAAATAATTAATATTATACTTAGTTAGTGATTGTTGAATGGACTTGAAACCGGGCAATAAATTGAAGATTTACCTCGACCAAAGTTGATGACACAATGCTTGCCTTCAGGACAATCGTACTCATTTCGGCATCCATCAGGACCAAGCGGAAGCTCCTTAGCGACCGTTGAAGAACATACCGCCGTCAATACCAAAGCAATAACGAAAGCCTTCATATTATTGACAATTTACACTACTTTGATAATAACTTTGTAACTTGGCAGCAAAGCAATGAACTTTTTCAAAGAATGATTCAAATATCAATGTGAAAATAAAAACTGATACTTCTCCTATCAATACCTCTCAAGCAACTGAAGTATTCTGTTCGGCAGTTGTTGCTTTTAAATACTTTGCTAAATTGTTTAAATATTCATGTATATTGTGGGTAAATTTTAATGTGTCATTCTTCCTGTAGGTCAGGCTAAATTTTTTTAAATTATATTGCCGCTTTTGCATCTCAAAAAAATTTTTTCTTGTCGAATGTTATCCAGATTAAATATATTTTGGAAGACGACTCTTTTCCTTGTTCGTATTGAATTTTAATTCGGTGGGTTTTTTTGTAGCTGATGTGCTGTAAATAATACTTGTGCATCAAACGTTAAATAGACAAGTGATTCTTTGTTTTTTCAAATCTCTCGATTTAAATTCAAAACATCAATAAACAGAAAAATAAAATAATTCTTAAGAAGTGATACATGTTAAAGTCTTGTTATGGTTAATTCAAATTAGTTCATATGAATTTATTTCTATAAAAAATGCATAAAAATTTTTTTTAATGCATTGAGAGTTGCTTTTACATAATGAGATTACATAAATTCAAAAATATCACGCCTATAAAATTTATTGTCTTCCTCTTACTGTGCAATGCAGCCTATACATGACTGTATGTCTGCAATGAATAGATTCATATATGTGGTGTATACACGACTGTGTGTCTGTATGTGCTCTCTAGATTGATACAAATTACTGCATATTCACGTGATTTGCTTTAAATATGTAAATAATTGTATGCGCATTGTCTCAAAATTAACTCAGCTTACTGAAAAAATGTGAATTTTCTTGGCAGAAAGATCAAAAACCTTATTTTCAACGTATTTTTTGACGAGCAAATAACAGTGATTTTGAAATCTATACTTTGAATATAATTTCAAAGCTGCAGCAAACCAAAGTTGATTTTTCACGCGGTTGCCGACATTTTATTATTGTATATTTGAAAAGCACAAAAAATTTTTACCTGTGTCTACACTTTATAGATTTTATTAAAGATCATTTCAAGGACTCCAGTAAGAAAAAAGACCCTAATTTAACCTACAATAAAGCTCATACAAGGATATATACATTTATAAAAAAGTGTCATGACTAATATAATTAATTGTATTTATACTTACAAAATTTCTAGAATATATTTTTTTAATGTCTGTATTTTAATATTCATTTTTTCAATGTACAATAACAATAAATAATTCAGAGCGAATGTCTGAGAAACTTGTTTACGAACGATTTTACATGAACTACATAAAAATTATGTACTATCGCCGTTTGAAATTTAATTACATATCTCAGTCATATCATGGAACCGTTGTTTTTCGATTTTACAATGTACAATTTGACTGATTTATTTTGTTGATTTACAAATAAAATTAAGCTCTGTTTTTGATCATTCGGTAGTCATCTTTCATTGTAGTCTTCTTGGTTTAAGTTCAAAATATTCAAGAAATTCTATTCTCTTCACGTTCTCAATGTCAGGCTTTTCGGACTGTACTTCAGGCTCGGGTATAGCGTCGGGCTCGGGTACAGCGTCAGGCTCGGGTATAGCATCAGACACGGGTATAACGTCAGGCTCTTCGGACTGTATTTCAGGCTCGGGTATAGCATCAGACACGCATATAACGTCAGGCTGTTCGGACTGTACTTCAGGCTCGGGTACAGCGTCAGGCTCGGGTATAACGTCAGGCTCTTCGGACTGTATTTCAGGCTCGGGTATAGCATCAGACACGCATATAACGTCAGGCTGTTCGGACTGTACTTCAAGCTCGGGTATAGCGTCAGGCTCGGGTATAACGTCAGGCTCTTGCTCGACACTTTCTGTAGTCTCTTGAGGGGCATTGTTAGAAGAATCGTGCTTTGTACCTTGTCCAAAGTTTAATTTTTTTCTCCACGCATCTTTTTTTTTATTCCGAAGACTTTTATCTGGTGTCCACTCGTTAATATAATTTTCGGTAGGGCTGTATTCAAGTTTGCCGTTTTTGTTAAGCTTGAAGTAGGGGTTCTGTCAGTGATATCATTGCAATTATTAAATTGTTTATTCGTTTTTTTTTTAATAATTACCATTTTTCCGCGATTAAATAGGCCTTGATCTCTGCTGCAAACTTGGATCCCCGCATTTGACTTAGCTGGTACCTTCTTACGTGGCTTAGCTATTACCTTATTACGTGGCTTAGCTATTACCTTCTTACGTGGCTTAGCTGGTACCTTCTTACGTAACTGAACTGGTACCCTCTCTCGTGGCTTAGCTACTTCCTCCTCATCTGACTGAACTGGTACCTCCTCATGGGGCTGAGTTCGTATCTCCTCAGGTGGCTCAGTTACTTCCTCCTCATTTCGCTGAGCTGCTTCCTCCTCACGTGGCTGAACTGGTACCTCCTCACGTAGCTTAGCTACTTCCTCCTCACCTGACTGAACTGGTACCTCCTCATGGGGCTGGGTTCGTATCTCCTCAGGTGGCTCAGTTACTTCCTCCTCATTTCGCTGAGCTGCTTCCTCCTCACGTGGCTGAACTGGTACCTCCTCACGTAGCTTAGCTACTTCCTCCTCACCTGACTGAACTGGTACCTCCTCATGGGGCTGCGTTTGTATCTCCTCAGGTGGCTCAGTTACTTCCTCCTCATTTCGCTGAGCTGCTTCCTCCTCACGTGGCTGAACTGGTACCTCCTCACGTAGCTTAGCTACTTCCTCCTCACCTGACTGAACTGGTACCTCCTCATGGGGCTGCGTTTGTATCTCCTCAGGTGGCTCAGCTACTTCCTCCTCATTTCGCTGAGCTGCTTCCTCCTCACGTGGCTGAGTTGGTATCTCCTCAGGTGGCTCAGCTACTTCCTCCTCATTTCGCTGAGCTGCTTCCTCCTTATTCATGTTGTGGGTTCTAAATTGAATGACCAAATCAACGATAATGTTCAAGAAATTTTCTAAAATTTGATTCTATATCCGTTTCGTAGAGCAGATCGTGTGGTCTTTTGCAAGATGTAAACACAGAGTGAGCGAAAGTTTTAGTGGTCTTCAAATTGAACGAGATTAATCGTCAATTTGTACTAACATTGCTACATTACTGAAAAGAATAATAACTCACCCGGTGTATGGAAAAATATTTGAAAAATTCGTTGTAATGGGACAAATTTTGAAAATTGAGAGTTTTAATGCAATGAATCTATTTCCAGTCGTAATTAAGCATAAGCATTGCTTTTCTAAGTTGAGGTATTATATTTTAGCTTTGTAAAAAGGGAAAAAAAATTTCATTTCAAAAACCAAAAGTTTGATTGATTCGAAATGTATACACAGTATATTTTATTATTTAAAAAAGCTATAGCTTAAGCTTTAAATAGTCAAAATTGTCAAAATTGATATCCTGGCTCGACGGCGTCTTGGCACCCAAACCTGCAGGCCACTTGAAAATGGATTAATCTAAATTCGTCGGTGTAATTCACATTAAAATTACTGTACATCTAAAAAAGACTAGGAATAATATCCCAAGTCTTATATGCATCTCTAGCAGCATGATGCACTGGTGTGGTACGACGCGGCAATGGCTTGCCGTCTTCATTGACTTCGGACTTTTTTTTGTAACTGGTGCGAATCAATAATTTATTTTCCCTCATAATGGTCTAGATTTAATACACATCTTTGCGGCCCCCCTCTAGATGCCAATCAATTTCTTCGCGACGCAAAATGTCTCCAAGATTCGGAAGTGAGCCCTGCTTCCAAAATATGATGAAAATTACGAACTGATCGAGAAATCTACATCTCTCTTCTTCGACCTCCCAATTGACTTTTTCGCGTATACTTTTCAATTTTTTAGGATCGAGGAGTTCGTCGATGAAAATCATGATATCAATGTGATTTCGGCGTGGCAATGGAGATATACATTTTTACATAGCTTTTTTATCGACCATTGATTCTGTTGAATTTTCGACGTGTCCTTAGAATGTTTAAGAATGTTCTAAGACAAGAAATGTCTACTGGCATACTGATATAATGTAGGTACTTGAAAAATATTGCTTAAATTTTGTATAGCTCAATAATGGTGTATAATTAGTATATTTTGCACCTAAGGAGTGAAAAATTGCAAAGTCTCAACGCACGTGTAATTTATCATCCGAGGCGAAGCACATTTTCAGGATCACATTTTCAGGAGAAAACTCAATGCATTGTCATTGGTTTTTTCTTGTTAATTTTTCAAGTTATTATTTGCCATTTTTGTACTTTCTTCTTTAAAGTAGATTTGCATCGTGAATAATTAATCACATCTTCATAATTGATAAAATTTATTCAAAATGAAATCTCACATAGAAATTATATTATGAAATTTGATTCTATTTAATTTTTGCTCTGAAATCTTTTAAAACTCATTCTTAATTATTACATACTACGAAGTATTATGACAAAATATCTTCCTAAATCGTAAAAAAAGTTGCTTTGAAATCTCTGTTGTCCATACCTTAGACAATGTCTACGTCCATTTCACTCTGAAAGCTACGGTTCTCGTCCGATCACCGAATATAAACTGGGTTGAGCGCGGTTAGTACTTGGATGGGTGACCGCCTGGGAACCCCGCGTGACGTAGGTACTCCTTCTTTTGACTTTTTCAAGCATTTCAACATTTTACTCTTGAGTTTTTTCATTTTTATGTTTGTAATTGCTGTCCTCAAATATGCTTGCTAACAATTATTGAACAGACAGTAACTGCTACAAAATCATAATTTAGAATTTGCTTCTAAGGTTGTACTACTCTGAAAAATATCTCGTCAAGAGATTTTTTTCTCGTTGATGACGTTAATATCAAAAACATCTATATAAACATCTCTCTGAGGCTCATAATTGAGACGTACTTAAAAAGATCTTTTTTTACACGAGATTGCATTAAAAATGACCAAAAAACTTGGTACAAATTAACTGGGATATCTTCTGCACGTCAAATAGACCAATTTCACTATTTCTAGCAACATTAAATCAAAAAGTGGTACACCCTTCTACGTAAAATCAACAAGAAGTAATCAGCATTTTTGCACTTTATAAATTAATTATGAAAAATATTATGACATCTATTTTAAATTTCAGAATTATCCAAGTCGTGATGTTCATTATTGAATCAAAGATGATGCGAGTTCAGAGGTGAAATGAAACAGTCAAGAAGTTAATTGTTATAACTTCATCTTCGTCAAAAATCGCATTACAATTTTGTTTTTAAAAATATGTAGCGGTGAAATCCAGACGTCGAATTACAGTTGCGAAAGTTGATATAATTTGAAACTAGATTAGAGCTCACGAGAAGAAAATATAGAATTGAATTGGCAACTGTACGAGTAAGAGACGATCCAGCGATATGTTTGTTTATAATAAATGTATGATGGAAGCCTACACAATAGATTCATTTTTCAAGATGTTATTTTTCACGAGCCTCATTACAGTATCAGGGGATATAATTAGCATGAATAATTTCTCGAGTAAGCTATTCATCCACCCATATTTGTATTACGTCTCCTGTGTACTTTACATGAATAATCGCTGCTGCGCTCTATAATGATGCCGCCTATACCAAGCTTTAGATAGTTAATTATTCATACAGGTACAGTTTTCAATGATATAGGCTTGGTGCATTCGTCGTGTCGTCATTGCACGCATCGCAACGACGACGACGATGGCGACTTTTTACGATAAGATGCGCAACTGCCTGTCGATCAATTTTCGAATCGTCGCGCTGATGGGCTGCAGACTTCGCGGCGCCGTTCCAACGACGACCGCAGCAGCGGCGGCGGCCCCGAGCCTCGTCGACAAGCTGCCCATGTTCTACGTCATCTTCACGGAGACGCTGGCGCTGCTGGGCCAGATCAACTTCGTGGCGGCGCGCTGGTCGCGCGAGCCCGACTTGGCCTTGCAGTGCGTCGGCCACGCGCTCAACAACGCCCTCTGCATCTCCAAGGGATTTCTGCTGCTGCTGAATACGGGCCGACTGCGAGGACTGCTGGACGAGCTGCTGCGAGACTGGCGACGCTATCAGCCGGCCCGCGCCGAGGACCGGGCGAGGATCGCGCGCAGAGCCGAGAACTCGCTGACGCTTTCCAAGGTGTTGATGTTCAGCACGCTAAGCTGCATCGTGGGCTTCGGGCTGCCGCCTCTCTTGTGAGAATATGCAATATATTATAAGTGTGACTGGAGAGCGTGTTATGTATGAGGCGTTTCAGCCCAACTGCCCCATCGTGGCGGCCGCACCGCACTTTTAGTTTAATTTCTATCTCGCTGGAAAACCCCCTAAACGCACTTAAAAAAATACGTAGCACATGCTTTCGAATGGAAATTTCCTCAGCTTTCCGTAAGTTCAATTTTCACAGGGAAATTTCAAAAATAAATTTTCAAAATTAAATATCTCAAAAAGCATATTTTTAAGTTTTTTTAAAATGATCTCAATCGAAAGCTGAGGAAATTTCTCATCAAAATACATGTTTTCTAGCGAGTACATTTCATTATTACTAGCTGAAATACAGCGACGAACAGCAGACGCAGCACTGCGCGGCCAGCCGCTAGCCGCCAGCCTATGTGCTCATGGCAAAGGGGCATGTGACGGCATCGGTGCTAATATTAAGCGTGGCACAAGACGAGCTAGTTTACAGCTAACAAACAAAAATCATATTACTTCTGTTGACTCTTCGTATACATGGGCAAAAACATATTGCAAAGAAACTGAAATATTCATCAGTAAAAAAGTAGACAAGGAGCAAACTTGTTACGAATTGAAGTCTAGAATTGAGAATCGTAAACCCATCCCAGACACATTGCAGTATCATGCTTTTATTCCTACCGGCAACATCAATTTTATTCTTAAAAAAATATCTTTAGCATCTACGCACGATGTATAAAAAGCACTTTCACAAATAAAAAGCAGCCACCGAAAGATGATACAACCAAAGTCAAAGTTAAGAAATCGCGAGTAAAATGAGTTTTTTCTTCTTGACAACTGTCATACGTCTCGAACTCTTTTTGGAACTTATAGCGATCAAGTAATACATGGCACATGCACGTGGCGGGTAACGCGCGTAGGCTGGCGGTTGGACGTGCGGTGCTGCGTCTGCTGTTCATCGCTGTATTTCAGCTAGTAATAATGAAACTAGCGGCGTTCCTCGCTCGCTGACGCTCGCTCGTAATAATGAAATGTACTCGCTGAAAAACGTGTATTTTGATGGGAAATTTCCTCAGCTTTCGATTGAGATCATTTCAAAAAAACTTAAAAATATGCTTTTTGAGATATTTAATTTTGAAAATTTATTTTTGAAATTTTCCTGTGAAAATTGAACCTACGGAAAGCTGAGGAAATTTCCATTCGAAAGCATGTGCTACATATTGTTTTTAAGTGCGTTTAGGGGGTTTTCCAGCGAGATAGAAATTAAGCAATTTCGACTAAAAGTGCCATGCGGCCATCGCGCTGGGGCACTTGAGCTGAAACGCAATGTACGTTAACCCTTTAACGCCTGAAATGACCATTTTTGGACAACATTTATAGCGATGAATTACACCGACTATAAATTGTTTGAAAAACTTTTCAGACATCATTTCTTACGCAAAATTTAATGTACTTTTCGAATCCGGTGTCAGAATTTAAAAAAAATTATTAAATAAAAAGTTATAAACAATTTTGTAAAAAAAAACATGAAATTTCGAGAAAAAAATCTCGTTTAACTCAAATTTCAACACGGAAAAAAGGTTTACTCGTGCGTCTCACGCATATAAATTTGGTCAATGGCTTGTATACTTCATTGTAAAACAGTTATAATTATGAACTTCAAAATGGCGATCATCAATTCGGCTCGCGAAGACCTGTACGTCATAAAATGATTTCGTCAATTTTTAACTCGATAACCATTCATTTTACTAGAATAAGTTATAAAACAAAAAGTGTTTAGAGTTGACCAAAGAACGCGCCTGAATTTTCGCAGAATTTTTGGAGCGATTTTTGGATTTTTGAAAAAATGGTGTTATCCAGAAATCCAAAAATCGCTCAAAAATTCTGAAAAAAATCAGGCGTGT